GTCATTAAAATACAATCACCAACACCCATTTTTTCATCAATAAGAAATAGGGACTGGTCAGATGGCTTAGCAGGATGAAGTGCTTGTTGCTAAGCGTGACATCACAGTTAGTTCCCGTTGCTGTGGTAAAATGGTGAAACACCATAACCTAAAGCCACTTAGGGAGGGGAGGGTGTATTTGGCTCAAAGGATACAGCCTGCCATCAGGGAAAGCCAAGGCAGGGGCAGAGGCAGGACCCATGGAGAAGAGCTGCTTACATGCTTGCTTTCCATGGCTTGCTCAGCCTGTTTTCTTATACAGCCCCAGGACCATCTTCCCGGGGCTGGCACTGCCCACAGTGGGCTGTGTCCTCCCACAATCATTATTAATCCAGTCTTATGGGGCTTTTTCACAGCTCCAGATCCCTCTTCTTATTTGACTCTAGCTTGTGTCAAGTTGACATAAACTAGGCAGCACCCCCAATGGATGGCCTGAGTTCAATCCCCAGGGTGGGGGTGGGGTTCCCACACAGAAGGAGAGTTGACTTTCACACTTTTCACTTTCACTTGTCCTTTGACCTTCAAATGTGTGACATACAAAATAATTTAAAAGAAAATTAGCAGTTTTCATCTTTAAAATATCTTTCGTGCTATTGTTAATGTGTAAAATGGCAAAATAAATACAGCAATCTGCTCTGAATGAGACAAGTGTCATGGCAGAGAATCACAGCATCATGTTGCTTTGACTAACAATAAGCCAGTCTTAGTGTTCTATTCTGTGAAGAGACACCATGGCCAAGGCAACTCTTATAAAGGAAAGTATTTAATTGGGTCCTGGCTTACAGTTTCAGAGTTTAGTCCATTATCATCATGGCAGGGAGCATGGTAGCACACAGGCAGCATGGTGCTGGAGCAGTAACTGAGAGCTTTCCATCCTGATTCTCAGGCAGCAGGCAGAGAAAGAGCAAACAATGAACGCTCGGTCTGGCGTGGGCTTTAGAAACTTCAAAGCTCACACCCAGTGACACACTTTCTCCAACAATGCTGTATCTACTCCAAGAAGGCCACACCTCTTAATCTTTCCCATGCCCTGGTGATTAAGCATTCCAATATAGGAGAATGGCGGTCAATCTCATTCAAACCCCCCGCAAAACCTAAGAGAAGAAAACCCAAAATGTAAGTCATGTGTGAAACGCACACCTTGGACTCCTGTGAACACATCACATTAAGTAACACATCACATGGTCTTGCTTGCATTTCTCAATGGTGGTTCAGTCTTTACTGTAAGCCCACGCAGCAATTAGAGCTACACATTTTTATATTGTAATAAACAAACAAACAAACAAACAAACAAATAAATAAATGTTTTTCTGTTGTGAAATGCTTGTCCCCTGTCTTGCCAAGAGTCAGTTAAACTGAAAACTACACAGTGTGCTTTGTTTTCTAAGCAGTGTCCATCTCACATGGCCACGTGGTGGCTCTGATTTCTGAAACCTAAGTACTTTGGTGACAGTGAAAATAGTGTTTATATTTCTATATATAGTATAACTGAGTAGTAGCAACTTGCACTCTGTAAATTTTCTGGAAAATAATTCTTTTTAATTTTTTTAAACTTCTGAGACAGAGTGTTGCTATGTTGTCTGGTTAGCCTAGAACTCACTGTATAAACCAGGCTGGCCTGGAACTCTCAGAGGCCTGTCTGCCTTAGCCTCCCCAGTACAGGGATTAAAGATATGTGCCACCATGCTTGACCTGAAAATAATCTTTTTAAACATATGTAGATATAATCTTATAGAATAGGCGGGTTTTCCATTATTTTTAAAGGGTGTGACAATTTCTGAGCTCCTGTCATAGTCGTAAGTGTCCAGCCATTGACTGTCTGAATGGATTGCTAGTGAAGATTTGTCCAGAATTACACTGTTACGTCTCCACTGAGAACCATAATTCATATATTCCCACATAGGTAATAACAGATACACAGTGGACATTTTGTTTAAAGGACACAAAGTAGCAATAGTTGGGGAAGTGAATCCACATCAAAACCGTTTGCAACAACACAGAGTGAGTTAATGAGTGAAATCCTGTATTAGTTACTTTGTTGTAACTTAAGGGAGAAAGAGTTTATTTTGGCTGTGGTTCTAGAGGAAAAGCCCAAACGGCTGGACTGCGGAAGCATGACAGCAGGCAGCTGGAGCCGGAAGCTGAGTACTCACATCTTCAGCAACAAACACCAAGTAGAGATCAAACGGAGCTGGGATGAGACTATCTTCAGAGAATAATGAATTCTTTCTCTGGCTTCATGCTCTTGTATCTCATTATCAGCTGCAGGACAGCGTTCCTCAGGTGAAGAAGGATGCTAACCTGGATTGTTCTCCATCCACGATATCAATCATCCTCACACACAGGTTCATCCTCAAGGGAAAGGGATTGGTGTATGACACCAAGGATCGAAACTTGCATCCAAGCACTCTGCAGAAGACTCATTTGATGTTCAAGAGAAGTATGGAGTTGGTTTTTCCCATTCAATGATGACTACCAACCTTGGGGTGTTTAAAATGAAGCATCATTTCAAGTGCTGATGCGAAGATGTAGGATCTTGAGCTCTCTTATTGCTGATTAGAACACAGTATGTTGCAACTACTTCAGAAAACATTCTCTAAAAGTTAAACGTATACCTGTTGTTACTAGGCATTTATCCTAGAGGAATGGAATCCTGGGTCCAGTTGAATGTATACCTGTTGTTACTAGGCATTTACCCTAGAGGAATGGAATCCTGGGTCCAGTTGAATGTATACCTGTTGTTACTAGGCATTTATCCTAGAGGAATGGAATCCTGGGTCCAGTTGAATGTATACCTGTTGTTACTAGGCATTTATCCTAGAGGAATGGAATCCTGGGTCCAGTTGAATGTATACCTGTTGTTACTAGGCATTTACCCTAGAGGAATGGAATCCTGGGTCCAGTTGAATGTATACCTGTTGTTACTAGGCATTTATCCTAGAGGAATGGAATCCTGGGTCCAGTTGAATGTATACCTGTTGTTACTAGGTATTTATCCTAGAGGAATGGAATCCTGTGTCCACACAAAGAACAAGGCATGAATACTCACAGTAGCACTCTTTATCTTTAGTTTCATGCCCCCAGTACTGGGGATTGAACTGAGAACCTGGCACCTCTAGGCAAATGCTGCATTACTTACTGAGTTGTATCACCAGCCTTTTTTATTTCAACTTTGGAAACAAGTTCTCACTAAGTTGTCCACAAACTCACTATGTGGCCCACACATGCTGTGAATTTGTGATCCTCCTGCCTCTGCCTCCCAAATAGCTGGGATTATGGGTGTGCACCCCTATGCCAAGCACGGCGGCTTTATCTTATTTCCAGTAGCTAAGACAGTGGCCTCCGCCGATTTCTTACCTGAAGCTCTGAATGTGCTGGGATCAATTGTCTACAGGCTGCTGAGAGGAAAAGCCTGGGACTCAGAATTCTCTGCCTAGATGTCTGTCCTTAGCCTGTTTAACCTAACAGTGTGACATTTGTAAAGGCTGAGACATATATTGAGGGAACAACTCTAATTCACAAACTAAGACACTTGAAGAAAGGCTGAAGAGAGCTTTTTGTTTGTTTTTTAGCTCAGCGTTGTGTCTCTGGCCCCTAAGCACAGTCGTCAAGGTTCACTTTAATGGCCGCCTGGTGCTCTGTACCTTCTGTGTATCCTCGTTTCCATGTGGTTTTTTTGGTTCTGATGTGATAACATTATAAGTGCAATGTGTCTGTTCAGGCTGGCAGCTGACTCCGAGGAGGAGTGGTTTCAGGAGGAAATGCAGCCAGTGGCGGAGTCTCTAAGCCTCTCTGGGAGGAACATCCTGATGGTAACCGAGAAGCTCCCCCTGCAGCCCGAGAGTCAGCGTCACTGGGAGGAGCTAGTGGCCACCGCTCAGCAGATCCTGGTGGACACTACCAAGGTGAGGCTCTCTCAGAGCTCGCTGACTGGTCACTGCTGGAGAACACGCATGGCTATGCAGTTCCCACAGGAACTCCTGACTGTCCCTTGATTTGAAACCTGCCCAGGTGCTTGCCAAGATCCCCCTCCCCCACAGAATTCATTACCGATTTAATCAGAGCTAAATTGAAGCTGTAATGGGGCCGGTACAACCTCCCAGTTTCCAAATACTCCCAACTTTTCACCCTGACCCACATTCCTTGCTAAATACAACTTCAATTATTTTTTGGAGATTTTATTTATTTTTATTTTATGTGTATGAGTGTATGCCTGAATGTGTGTCTATGCACCACGTCTGTAAAATGCCTGAGGGAGGCAGAGGGGGACAGAGGAGTGCATAGGATACTCTAGAATTGGAGTCACAGAAAGTTGTGCGCCCCTTGTGGATGCTGGGGATCAAACCCAGGTCCGCTGGGAGAGCAGCCAGTATTCTTAACTGCTAAGCCGTCTCTCCAGCCCCAGTGCACAACTTTTAGATTGGAATATTGCTCCTGGTTCAAATACATATCCCTCAAAATATTTTGTTGTTGTGTGTTGTATAACTTGTGTAGTGTGGTTTATTGACAGGTGTTTGCACAGACCTTATTGGAGGGTAGTTGCAATGTGGTAGGAGAAGGTGAGGGGCAGAACCAGAGGGTTTGGGGCGCCTGCTGGTGGCGAATGAAAGAGAGAAAGGCTTTTGACTTGGGTACCAGCCCCAGGGGTAGGGAGTGGATGGAGCTGTCTGGGAGAGGTGGAGTCAGGCTAAAAAGCTGTCTCAGAGAAGAGCTCCAGCCCATCGTTTTTATCTAAATAATAATCCGTCTTTGAACAGTACAGGGAAGACCCCACAGTAAATATGGAGAGAAGGCAGCTACTTCAGACCTCTGGTTTACAAAGAAATGCGCACACACGCAAACCTTCAATTCTGGAGTGTGCATTCTCGGGTCCAGTCACCTAGGCGGTGCCTGTATTTGGTTACGCTCAGGTTAACTGACAATGTAGAGTCTCCTAGGCTTAAGCTACATGGCTCCAAGAATGTTCAGTCATCTTCCAGTCTCTTTCCTGTGACCGCCCCAGCAGATCTTGCTCCTCGAAGACGCAGCAATGTTGAGGAAGACTGTGCCAGCGGCTGGTTGGTGTCTGACATGCTTGGAGGCTCTGGAGGCGGCAGAGGACGCCACGTCGCTGCGCGCCTCGCTCGCTGACCTGGCGGCTGCGCTGCTGCAACTGGGCGGCCTGACCACGCGCTGGGCCCGGGACGAACGCCTGGGTCGAGTTCGCCACCAACTAGGGTGCTGCATCCCAGCGCTGCTCGCAGCCACCCGCGGCCACCTCCGGCACCCGTACGATCCACAGCTGGTGGCTTCACGGCGCCGTGTCTATGCTCTGACCAGGCAGAGCCTCAGAGAGCTTCTGGTTGTGCTGCAGCCCGGTGTCGCAGGACACGGTGCGCGCTCTCAGAATGGCGCATTGGCGCTTCGTCTGCAGAAGCTGCGGCAGGTCCTGGAGGAGCCCGGGCCGAGCCACCTGCGTGAAGGGCTGCTGGATGCGCCACTGGCCGCCGTGGTGTGGCACTGCCTGCGCCTAGCCGCCTGCTCCACTCCTCGGGAGAGGATGCACCTAGTGTCCCATTGCCACCAGCTGCTGCAGGTCCGCCCCGGGGTGCACCGACCTCACCAGCCCAGCTCAGGAGCAGAATGCGAAGCTCTGCGGGCCGCGACTGATGCGCTCTTTCAGGGAGTCCGAGCTGGGTTACTGCGCCAGATTCTGGACACGTTCACAGATACCTACAGTCCTCTAGAGAGGCTGGTCCAGGCCGCCTTGACGACCTCCACTATCAGGTCTCGGTGCAATAGCGAAGCCTTGGCAGAGACTCTCGGGCTTCTCCTTGATGCTTTCCACAACCAAGCGAAGCAGATGATCCGAGTGGCACACTTGGTTTGGGTCTGCTGCCCCCAGCAGCAAACTGGCAGAGACGTGGAGGCTGCCGTGGCAGGTCTTTGGGGGCTTGTGGTCAAAGCGAAGGAACTCTTTTCTCAAGGTCCCCAAACACGTGACCTGGACTGGAGCCCTGCCACCCTGCAGGCACTACTTGAGGCCTGGGCCAGGGAATCCGAACACCTCTTGGCATGCTTTGATGTCGTTCTCGATATTCCTGAATTCCTGAGTTTGTCCATCCAGGAAATGACTGAACACTTGAACCTGTACACAAGGGCTCTGAGGAGCGGAGCGTCCAGAGAGTTTTCCAGATCTGTGGCGTTCTTACGCGGAAGAGCCACACACATAGTTCAGGTGATGAGCAGGTATGTGGGTCAAGACCCAGACCCCATTTTCCGAAACGGGATGAGAGTCGTGGTTCAGCAGCTGGCACAGTCTTCCTTGACGCTGGCTGCAGCCACTGATGGCAGCACAGGTCGAGACAGCGCTCAGGACACAGGTGCCTTTTTAACGATGGCAAAACATCTCATCTATTCTGCTCAGCAAGTCCATGAGGGGCTGGATGGGACCAGCCACCCAGACATCCTCAGCCCGCTTCGATTCCAAGTCCAAAGGTTTGATATTGCCACGCGATGGCCTTATTTCATTCTCCCCAGCCTCCAGCATCCCACAGCTCCCGCAATGAAATACCAGCAGGTACCTGGGTTAGAGGAAAGTGGCACAAACAGCTCTTTCCTACCAGTAGAACAACTTTCCTACACAGTGGTCCCTGACCCCTGCAAACAGGGGTGGGGCTCCCCATTCCTTGCTGTCAACAAAGTCATCACTGCTATGGAGAACCAGGATCACCGGGTAGTGACCTCATCACGTACCAGCTTGCCAGAGCGGGAGTCATCTATGAATACAGCCCAAGAAATCCAGGCTGAGGAAGAACCCCTGGGGCCAGAAAGGACAGCAACAAAACTACACGAATTTTCTACAGTGGTACCTTTGGTTACTGACCTAGCCAAGGAGGAAGTCTATAGCACAAATACTAGAAGTGACAGGCTTCTGGGAGTGGCTTTTCAGCAATCTGGGAGGATCAGGGAAGCCAGGCAAGATCTGGTAGCCAGGGCTGGTGACTGGTACTGTCTGTGTCAACAACTATTTTTCCATAGCCTAGCGGCTGAATTACCAGGAAGCATGGCAGCGTTTATGGAGCTTCAGCAGAATTTGGCCTCAATGGTTCAACTAGCAGGCAAAAGTGGCCCGGTGAAGAGCCCTGACCCAATGGAGCACCCAGGAGTGCTTTTAGAGCTGCAAAGCAGATTGGAAAAAACAGAGATCCATGCTCAACAGCTGTTGGACCAAGTTCTGTCCTCTGATGGTCTCCAAGCCTCCAAGCTGAGGGAAGAGGACATTGACAGTGGGTGCCTTCTATGGGCAGCAGCTGTCCAGGACCTGATGCAGTGCATGGAGAGACTGAGCAGGAGACCAGGTCTGTTTCTACTGCCCCTGCAACAAGCCGTGAAGAACCAGAAAGGGTTGCAGGAAGGGTTAGATCAGGCAGCAGATGTTTCTCAAAGGTTACAGGAGGCTGCTGAGCTGTCTAGCATTCTGTGTGGGGATGAGCAGGTGAAGGGTGAGGTCTCCTTTCTGCGTGGGGAAGTTCATGTACTCACAGATGCATTGCTGGAGGTGGTACACATCTTGGTCTCCTCCCCCAAGCCATGTCCCAGTCTCTCCACACGCTTTGAGCTTCTCTGCTTGGAACTCAGCCTTCGAGTCAAGGCCCTGACTGACTACCTGAGTAGTATCAATGCTGTCTATGAGCATATGTTCCAAGATGCTGTCGGCAAGGGCTCCCAGACGAGGATGCTGTCTGTCATCCAAGCTGTGCAGGGAATCATAGCAGGAGGTCAAGAGTCTGGATCCTTCCAGGAAGATCTTCTTGTGTCTCTAGAGAGCATGCTCATGCTCACTAAGGAGGTAGCCAAGACGGTCCCTGTGCTCCAAGAACACCCGGAGGAGCTGGGGTTGCATATGCTGGACCGGCTTCGGTGGGAATGGGCAGCCAAGGCCCACCATGCAGTGACTCAGCTCCAGGCCTTGGAAGGCTGTCGCACTGAGGCCTGGAGACTCCTGGTCCAATGCTTGAAACCCAGGGAGGAGCCAGCAAAGGGCCTAGAAGAGGATCCCGTCCAGCTCCAGCAGCACTGTAAAGAGGGTGCACCAGGAACCACTGCAGGAGGCAGTGGGAATTCTCAGGATGCTGTTCCCAAAGGCACCCCAGAAAGTTCAATGGAGACCTGTGCAGAGGAGCTAGCCTCCGCCAGGACCACCACAGCGGACCTGAGCACGGTAGGTAGGCTATTTGGCATCTTTCATCTACCTCCACCTGGACCTGTTTCTAGTAACCAAAGACCCTAGCACGTCCCAGAAACTTGATGCCCACACCACATGTATAATTCACACAGGGCAGGCAGCATGAGCAGCCTCTAAAAACCTAGGCTTGGGGTTCAGATATCCTAGCCCGCAGCTACCTCTGCCATGCCTTTACCAAAATCACAGGGCAGTCTCAGCACCATTTAGACTCCAGCATTCTAGTCTCACAGAGGGCTAATGAATGAGTCCCTGCAAAAATAATTCCCTTCCATCAGCATCTAGTATGTGTTCTAGAACTAGTGCCTATGCTTTTCATTGGCTTTTGTGGAGTTTTTCCTTACCACTTTAACTGAACTTTTCTGACTGGCCGTACAGGCTGCTTCATCCACTTTGACCTCTACAGATGTCACCTCCCTGCTCCAAAGTGACAAAAATACAACTAGAATCACTGTAGTAGGGGGTGAGGGGGTTTATTAGAAAGATGGTAGCGCTGTTGAATACCTCTCCTACATATCTGCTTCCTTCTAGGGCAAGACAAGACACGTAGGCATTAAGGGTCTGAAAGATTTCATGTATTTCTACTGACCATAACCAAAGTCAGTGGGAGAGAGCAGAGCTTAGCAGGACTCTAGTAGTTTCTAAGTAGCTACACTTCATCCAGTGTTTTCCACTCTAGAGACGGTGGGACCTGGAGAGCAGAGCCTAAAAATGAGGCGTACTGGAGTCTCACACCATAGCCAACTTTATTCAGAGCATCAGACAGTTTATACTCTGAGGGTTAGGAAAGGTCACGTGAGTAAAGTTCTCATGAGTTCAAGCTGTATGCAATCACCAGGACAAGCTGCATGTGTCAAAAACATGTTTTTCCACAGAAATGTATAACCAACAACAACCAGTTGTAACACGTAATCTGAGGTAACTCACTCCTGTCTGCTACACCCAGGAGGAGCACAACAGGACATTCCAAAAACAAGTCTGTGTTTTTGAAGAAACTGAGGTCAGAAGACTCCTGTCTTGGAGTTTTCGCACGAGCACTCAGAATTCCCCTTGCAGGACTCCATTCTTGGGTCATGTTCTGACAATCCAGGATTTGGTAGTTCACTTGCCTCCTCGATCCCCATGATGACCTTGTGGATGGCTGAACAGAATCCCCCAAACCTCCAGAGGGCTTTTCCCAAGATAAAACCGACCACACCACACCACGCTTTTACCCCTGCCCTGATCAGCCTGACTTCTTTTTTCTCATCAAAACGTCACTTGCACAAAAGGGGACCCTGTGACCAAGGTACAACAGGGAGACTAACAGACACCATGCCCCTATGCTCTAGGCTCGCCTGCTTACCTCTCAGTCTTATAAATCCAGATAGCTTGCAGGCGCCCCCTCCTCCTTTCTGGATCTCCATAGTCGTTAGCGTGCCAGGCTCTCACTGACTTACCTTCTGTTTCTGTCAGCGCACCAGAAGCATCTCCCAGAGCTGCAAGGCAGGGTGGCAGGGCAGGGGGACGCTGGCCACCCAGGTCAGAAGGCTCTGATAACAAGACAACTACACAGTCTTTAAGTCCCACCCGCACTCTTGTCCGTGAAAGGACACCCTCGGGAGGTGCTTTACTCCAGTTCTGGAGGCTCTAACGTATAATCAATCCTAGGCCCACACTGAGAAGCTTGAAGTTATTCTAGGTTTGGATGCTTAAAGTGTCTGGTAGGTTTTTAAAAGGCCATTTCCTAAATTTCCTCACCACACTAGTTGGGGTTTCTATTGCTGTGATAAAACATCATGACCAAGTCAACTCAAAAAAGCAAGGGTTTGCCGGGCGGTGGTGGCGCACAACTTTAATCCCAGCACTTGGGAGGCAGAGCCAGGCAAATCTCTATGAGTTCGAGGCTAGCCTGGTCTACAGAGCAAGATCCAGGACAGGCACCAAAACTACACAGGGAGACCCTGTTCTCAGCACCTTGACCAGATATGAGTCTCTGCTGTAACTGCAGGGGGCGGCTTCCCTGGCCAAGACTGGGGGGAACACAGAGTCATTTCCCCCTGGGTTGTCAGCAACCGAACACTCTGTCCAAGTCCCCTTCAAGAGGCTACATGTTCTTTCTTCCCCCTTGTAAAGCCTGAACACTCACAGAAGGGAAACACACTCCTTTGCCCACATTGAGATTCCAGGATGCCATGTTTCAGTCTCTGCAAATTCCGGATAAATGGAGCACAAACTCATAGGGAATCATGTCTCTCCTTGTTGTTTCCCTACATTTGAAAGATTGCCAAGGGCTCTGAGGACTCAGGAAATCCACCTGATTCCCTTGTGCCTTCTTTTAAAATGATTTAAAGGCAGTTAAGGGGATGAGGGGAGTGCTCAGTGGATAGAGCACTTACTGCATGTGGTAGTGTGAAAGAAAATGGCCCCCAGAGGGAGTGGCACTATTATGAGGTGTGGCTTTGTTGGAGTAGGTATGGCCTTGTTGGAGGAAGTGTGTCACTGTGGAGGTGAGTTTTGAGGTCTCATATATGCTCAAGCCACACCCAATGTCTCAGACTACTTCCTGTTGCCTGCACAAGATGTAGAACTCTCAGCTACCTCTCCAGCACCATATCTGCCAGCATGCCACCACACTCTCAGCTGCCTTGCTCCCCACCATCATGATAATGGACTAGACCTCTGAAACCGTAAGCCACCCCATTAAATGTTGTCCTTTCTAAGAGCGGCCGTGGTCTTCACAGAAATTGAAACCCTAAGACACTGCAGAAGGGTGAGGATTTAAACTCTATTCCCAGATTAAAAACCTGGGTGTGCAGATGTGTTAAACACTTGTAATCCTAGCCCAGGGGAGGCAGAAATGGGCAAATCCTTGGTCAGCTAGCATAGCCTGACCAGGAGGCTCCAACCCAATGGTAGATTCCATCTGAAAGACCAAAGCAGACAGATCCTGAGGAACACTTGCCTCCATATGTGTATGAACACACACACACACACACACACACACACACACACACACACACACACACACACACAGGCAATTAACATCCTCACTGCAGTTTAGAGGCCTGAATGTCAGGAAGTCTTGTTCTAGACCTCTAACCAGATGTTTCCTTTCAGCGCCAGAGTGGCATCCCCTCTCTGCCTCCTGCTCAGATGGACCAGACTCTTCCAAACCACGGCAGTGCACACAGTGAGAACAGGATCACCCAGATCACACAAGAGATGGCCAAGGAGGTGCTCCTGATGGCTCAGAGCTTGAGGAAGAGAGGGCCAGGCCTGGTACTTGGTCTTCAGAGGGTCATGGTGGTGGGTGATTGGGAAAGTAGTGCCTTGGCCTCCCTAGACAGTGCCGGAAGGAAAGGTCTCACTGAAGGTCCAGTCAATGCCCCATCTCTGTAAAACTTACTTCCCTCTGCTCCTCTTGTTGGCATGGCTACTGTGGTTTTATCAATTATATCAGGGAAGATAATTTTGCCGAATCTGCACTATAGTAAAATTAGCAAAAATCAAGGAGTCATTCGTTCCCCAGAACAATGAGTCAAGAGTGTTATGTATACCTTTTGAATTTTACTTTAAATTTCAGTATTCCTCTATGTGCGTGTATAACCCATGGAGGGATGTGCGGTGGCATGCATATGGTGGTCAGAGGACATCTTTATGGCATCTGCTCCTTCTATTTTTGTGGGTTTCAAGCTCAGATTGCAAAGCATCTTTTCCCCCTGAGCCACCTCAGCACTCCATTATTTATATCTTTTAAAGTTGATTTTTGGGACACTGTCTCCATCCCCATCAGACCTTTAACTCAGGATCCTTCTACCTCAGTCTCTCAAGTGCTGGGATTACAGGTCCATGTGTTAACACACCTTGCTGCTTTTTAAATCCCTCCAAACAGAGTTAGTAGAAAGAGCTGAGACCTCTCGAAATTATGGCTGGTACAGTCTGGAGGAAGAAAGCCTCTTTTCCACTAGTTTCTAGAGGCTGGCTTCCACAGTGAGCCTATTCCCACTCTCAGTATCCCTCTTCTTGGTTAAACTGAGGCAGATGTTGTTTGCTATCAACACACCAATATGGAAAATAAAGAAATCCATTTACTTTGTGTATGGACCAAAAGGAAGACACAAAATGGCAGGTTAAAAAACTTCCAGTGTGGGCCTACTGGGTACAGATGACTCCAAAATCCAAGACTGGGCCACAAGGGACCTGACTTTCCTATCCTGGGGCAGGACAGAGGGTTCAGGAGAACAGGCAAGGGCAGCCCCTGGCAATATAACTACAAGATCAAACCCAGAGCCTCCATCACACCCAGACTCAAACCTTTCATTGTTGGGTCATTCTTCCCAGCTCCCCCAGCCCGTCAATATCTGGCTGAACCAGTGACACCCAAGGTCACCAAAACAGGTCTGGCTTCTCAATGTATTTCCAAATTGAATTAAATAGGACTCAGGTGTCTGCAGTGGTGTGTGGACTAAGGACCTAGGAATGTGCATCCTCTTGTGTTTCTGGAGAAATCTACATTTTTTTTTTTTTTTTGAGACAGGGTTTTGGTGCCTGTCCTGGATCTCGCTCTGTAGACCAGGCTGCCCTCGAACTCACAGAGATCCACCTGGCTCTGCCTCCTGAGTGCTGGGATTAAAGGTGTGCACAACCACTGCCCAGCTGAGATGTATGTTTGAAAGGAAAATCCAAGGACCATTTTAAGAGTGGGGCTTGTTTCTGGTAGGAAGTGGTATGCAGGATTCACCTCTGAGTTCCCCAATCTCACATCCCGATCGTAATGCCAATCATTAAAAAAAAAAAAAAGAAAAAAAGAACTGAAGTATTCTGCTCTTGAATGAAACAGAAAAAAAAAATCTAGTTAAGACTGGGGCTATTTGGTAGAGCTTATTTGGTAGAGCACTAACGTAGTATGCACAAGGCCCTGGATTTGACCCCAAGCACCACATAAGCCAAGCACAGTGGTACGTGCTTGTAATCCCAGCACTCTCAAGCTGGAGATACGACAGTCAGGAATTCAAAGCTATCCTCAGCTATGTAGTGAGTTTGAGGTCAGCCTAGGATACCTGAGCCTAGGAAGCTGTGTTTTCTTGCCTTCTGAAGCCCCCACACAAGAAAGGAGATTGTTCCTTGTTCAGTTAGGTTCTTTCTAACCCAAGAGAAAGCCCTTAGAGTTGGCTCAGGAGATGGTGGTTTAATCTAAAATATACTCATTTCCAAGGGCAGAAGTAAGCTGAGCCAAGAAAGCTAGGGCAAGCATTGCAATTTGTCCCTGATATCTCAGGGACACCTATGAAGACAGTGTTTGCCTACTTCTAATGTTTCCATCTCTGATATAGACCAAAGATCAGCTCATTGCCTCAGCCAGAAAAATCTCAGCTTCCGGAAAAAACATCACCAGACTCATTGGCATCATTGCTAAGAGCTGCATAGATCAGAGATGTTCCCACGAGCTTCTGTGTCTGGTGGAGCAGATTCAAACCATGTGCAGCCAGCTCCGCATCATCTCCAGGTAGGAAGCAGCCTGGGGGAGAATGGCTGAGCTTTTGAGACCCGGTAGGGATGGAGGGTGAGTTATTTGTATATGTTTAATGATTTACCCTCCTAGATTTTACACTGGTCCCTTCCCCATTCAGAACACAGGCCCTTTTACTCCATGATATTGTTGTGCTCACAACACTTCAGGGGTAGTTAGCCTTTGACACAAGCGACTGATACCCTTCCTTTGTAACCACTTGTACATTTTGACAATTAGCCCTCTGTTTTCATATTAATCCTATCTAATGATAAAGCCAATTATCTTTTCAAACATGGTGCACAGTGATGTGTTGGACAGTGAAAGACTGCACATCCGGTGGCGGTTCCAGGGATTAATCATGTAATGACAGCACAGCCATCTTAGTTTGTGAAAGTACACTCTATGATATTCACACCAAGAGCAAATCACCAATGACAAAGTGCTCAGATGGATGCCTGTCACTGAATCCCGACTGTACATCAATAGCAAGTGATTGGGCTGGGCATGGGGGCACATGCCTGTAATCTCAGCCTGTAATCTACTTGGAAGGTACAGGAGGACCAGGAGTTCAAGGCCTGCCTTGGCCTCATAGTGAGTTCAAGCCTAGTTCAGTCTACTCAAGACCCTGTCTCAACAAACAAAGATAGTGAGTGAAAACAGAAAACCTACCAGCAGGAAGCATGTGGTGAGGTTAACTCATTTATAAACCGAGAGTGGCAGTAGACACCTATAATCCTAGCATTCAGGAGGCAAAGGCAGAAGTTCAGGGCCATCCTTGGCTACATAGTGAGTTTGGGGTCAGCTTGGGCTACATGAGACTCTGTCTTACAACACCACCCCAAAAAAGAGCAAGTCATTTCATATGCCTCAATTCTGGAGCTGAGTCAGTTTCATTCATCACCTCCCCATAACAGCTTTCCTGTTGATGTAAATTACACAACATCGTGATAGAATTATAAAAGTTTTATTTTGACTCGAGTCTGTTAGAACCCGCAGCCACACACTGACTAATAAACTCGCAGTAGTAACAGTCTTCTATATGGAAAGGCTTGGCTGTTAAGACTACTGTCAGTTGTGAGTGAAAGGTCTCAGATATAGTGGAGGACACCAAGACAGACATGGACAGACAGGCAGACAGACAATAGTGTGGTGGGGGCTCTGAGGAATGTTCAGGTTCTGGCACCAGAGACAGACAACATGGCAGGGTTTCTGAAGAGAGGAATCGGAGTTCACATGGCCGGAAGTGGGAGTCTCTTCTTACACCTTTCTGAAGGGGAGGGAGGTTTCACAGCATAAGCCTGCAGCCGGGCTGATTCTCAGGCAGGGGCAGGGAAGGGAGTTCAGAGCAGGATGTGTGGTGCCAATACCTGCTTTGATGTAAACTCATGTCTTCAGTGAGTGATCCAGATCCTAGCACCAGGAATGGTATTAGCAAGGGACTCATGCAGCAGCTAGACTCTTACGTTACATTCTCATAGTGAGAAATAAAAATTCACATTTACTTATTTATTCATTTATTTAGTGTATACACACGCACGTCCATGCCAGAGAACACATGTGGAAGTCAGAGAACAAATTGTAGGATGGCTCAGTGGTTAAGAGCACTGGCTGCTCTTCCAGAGGACCGAGGTTTGATTCCCAGCACCCACATGGTGGCCCACAACTGTAACTCCAGTTCTGGGTGATCGGCACCTTCTTCTGACCTTCATGGACACCAGGCACACACATGGTAGGTGCAGGCAAAACGTGCATACATATAAAAATAAATCTTTAAAAATTAATAATAAAACTTGGCAATTGTTCTCCAGGAAAAACCATTTCAGATGCATGATCATCTCAAGCTTAGCTGCCAATATTTTTTCTATTTAATATACAGACATAAAATGACCACCACAAACAAATAAGTTTTATAATCAAAGTGAGACCCCCTAGACACAAGAGGTATGGTACCAAGCAGGGATGGCTACACAAAAAACTTCCCTGTGTCAGCTGGCAGAAGGAGCTAGGAGAAACAGGCTAGAGCATTCACTGTGGTTCTCAAGGGATGGGCCAGGCCAAATGTGGAGGCCGAGCATGTGCAGGAGTGATTATTTTGAATTAATCAAGGAAGGCGTGTTTGCAGGTAAGTCTTTTGCCCTTTCTGCGAACTGGTGAGCCCTAGAAGAGGCAGTCCCTCCAGCCTTAGCCGCATCCTGCGTATAGTTCTGTACAGAATTTGTTCTCTTTCATGTTTTGATGGCAGTTGGCATCTGTCCTGTGACCTCTCTTCAGCTATTTCCATTAACAATATATTCTTTTTTGTTTTCATTATAGATGCTATATGAATCACATTTCCTCAGCATTAAAATAACATTTTCATTTAAAGATAAGAAATTCAAGCCCTTAGAATAGTCTTCCCCTTGGGACTGTGGCAACAACTCAGTTGGGAAAGTGCTTGCCCGACACATGCATGAGGCGGACCTGAGTTTGGTTCCCATCTAAGAGCTGGGTGTGGTGGCGCATAGGTCTGATCCCACGGCTGAGGAGGCGAAGATGGGCTTCTCCAGGGCTTGCTGCTATAGTCAAACCCATAAGCTCCAGGCTCAGTGAGAGGCACTGTCTTAAAGGTGTGGGGGGGAACAATTGAGGAAAACACTTTACATTGCTTTCTGGCACACACACACACACACACACACACACACACACACACACACACACACACACCCTCCTCTGAATATTCCCACCAAAGTATCTCAGCTTTCTATATGGGGCTTACATTATAAATGCTGGTACTTACTGGTGACTGCTTCCTAACCTGGGATAAAGACTCCTTTCTTTTCCAACACCCCCAGTGTAAAGGCCTCCCTAGCAAGAAACAAGTCCTCTGAAGAGCTCCTTGTGGAAAATGCACAGAGGCTCCTCCAGGCCGTCTCCAAGACTGTGAGGGCTACAGAAGCTGCCTGTCTTCGGGTAAGTGCTGCAGGGGCCTGGTAAATGGCAGGCAGTCACAAGGATATCTTCTCTTAGCTACTCAACTCTGTTCCTTCCATTAAAACAGTGACCTCACTTCCTGTGCATTTTTATTTGCATGATTTCCATTAGCCTGGCTCCAATTTTATCGCTTCTTTAGCTGTACCCAATCTGCAAATGAGACAACTATGGTGGTATTTTACTTGTACTGAAATGTGATTTTAATTGTATGTTAATAAATAAAGTTGCCCGGGGGTCAGAGCTATTAGAGACACAGCAAGAGCATGGCGGTGGTGGCGCACGCCTTTAATCCCAGCACTTGGTAGACAGAGCTAGGTAGATCTCTGTGTGTAAAAGGATACAGCCAGCATTGGAGACACACGCCTTTAATCTCAATACCAACCATAGAAGACCTGGAAGTCTCTACAGACAGGCAATGACGAGGCAGTCATGTGTTTGGGTTTACAACCAATGAGAAGGCAGAACAGAAAGACTATTTAATGACATACACACAGGAAGTAGGCCCCTTTCGGAGAGCTCTCTTGGCTGAAGCAGGAGGGGTAAGGCTCTTAGTTCTGACCTCTTGGTTTTCTTCTCTGAATCGGCTCTGCGTTTCTTATTTAATAAGATGGTTGGTTACATCTACAGACAACCATAGTGTTCTGCACACCTTTTGCTGTGTTTTCTTCTGTTTCCAGAGTTTCCCTTTGTTTAGTTACCTGAATAAAATATTGTTTTTTGAGACAGGGTTTCTCTGTGTAGTTTTGGTACCTGTCTTGGATCTCGCTCTGTAGACCAGGCTGGCCTCGAACTCACAGAGATCCACCTGGCTCTGCCTCCCAAGTGCTGGGATTAAAGGCATGTGCCACCACCGCCCAGCAAAATTTTTGGTTTTTGAGATAAGAGCATAGATAGCCCATGCCGGCTTCAAACCCAGCATGTAGCTCCGTCTAATCTTTAACTCAGAATCTTTTTGACTCAACCTCCTGAGTACTGAGGTTTTAAATGTACACTACCACACCTAGATCTATTTCTTCTCTTTTGTAGGATTTATTATTTACCTGTGCATCTTTGCCCACATTTCAATTACAGTTGTGAAGATATTAATCGTAGGCATATTTACTTTCTTCACTGATCACATGGCTCAGATCTGACTCTAGCTGATTTGGGAGATTTGGTTTTTGCCTTGTTTATTGACGATGGGTTGGGAGTGTTTTGTTTGCATATCTCATAACTTTCCATTGGAAACTTGACATTATATGTAGATTTGTCTTCTAGGCACCTCGTGTGGGAGTGAGACAGATTGCCAGGCCTTGACCTGAGTCGGGGTTTTATTGCTGCGGTCACTGTGAGGGTATCAGACTTGCTGGCCTTAACTTGTGTTTAGTTTACTGTCCTTTCCTCAATGGCTGAAGGCTCTTGTTCAATAAAAAGGACAGATATTAGCAGTGATTCATGCCTGTGTGGTGGGGTGGCTCCCTTCCCCAAAGCCTGCATCTCAGAGAGGTGTTCTCAGTCCCCTGTTCTGACCTGAGCCTGTCTCGGGAGCACAGGTGAGGTCTTAAAAAACTCTAAGTACACATGGACCTTTCTTGTGGATGGGCGCTGTAGTCACACTAATCTAATTTGGACATTAGCTATTGGTTAATTTTATTTTTCAGTTCTGGAGGTCAATCCAGTGCCCTGAAGATACTAGGCAGATACTCTACTACTGGATGTAGATCCATAGCCCTGTTAAAACTTTCCCCCAAGCCTTATATTCAATTACATGGCTGCCCTGTCTCCCTCCAGGCTGAGTCTTGTACAAACCAGTCCCATTCCCATCTCTCCTCAGAGATGTCTATTTTCCAATACATCTGAGGCTGGAGAACTTCAAACTTAGCTTTCTAATAGATTCGAGAAAAGCACAGGTTTGTGCATTGACTGACTTTGTCTCACTGGGGTGAAAGCAACACTTTTCTGGCTTCCCATATCTTAAACAACAGCTTTAAATGGATGCTGTTGGAATGCCTGAAGGGACAACTCTCTGGGTGTGATGCTAGGACTCTGGAGGTGGATGCAGGAGGATTGGAAGTTCAAGATTATCTTCAGGTATACAGCAAACTGGAGGCCAGCCTGGGCTACTTGAGACCCCATCCCAAAGGAAAAAAAAACCCAAAGCAAAAACAGATCAAACAAATAAATAAGAGTTTGCTTAGGGTCTTTCTGTGGGAGACCTACCTCTGTCCGCATCGCTTCTTCCCGGGCCTGGCTGCTTCTCCTTCAGACCTGAACTTAACTCCTCTGAAGGGATGAGTCACAGCCACTGTATGGATGCCTCGTGACTCCTGATGGAGTTGTGCCCCTATAACCCCACCATCAATTGGAAATATGGTTAAATAGGGTCATAAATGCATTTCAGGTCAGACGTGGTAACTCACACCTATAATCCCAGCAGTCAGGAGGCAGAGGCAGGAGGACCGGAAGTTGCAGGCTAGACTGGGATACATAATGATGAGACCTTGTCTCAAAAAAAGGGAAAAGAAGGGGGAAAAAAGCTAAACAAACAAAAAATAGAAGACACATTAAAGCCAGGATATGGTGGTGCATGCCTTTAATCCCAGCACTTGGGAGGCAGAGCCAGGCGGATCTCTGTGAGTTCGAGGCCAGCCTGGTCTACACAGTGAGATCCAGGACAGGCACCAAACAACACAGAGAAACCCTGTCTCAAAAAAACAAAAACAACAACAAAAATTTGCCGGGAGGTGGTGGCACATGCCTTTAATCCCAGCACTCGGGAGGCAGAGGCAGGTGGATCTCTGTGAGTTCGAGGCCAGCCTGGCCTACAGAGCGAGATCCAGGAAAAGTGCAAAGCTACACAGAGAAACCCTGTCTTGGAAAGCCAAAAAAAAAAAAAAAAAAAAAAAAAAAAAAGACACATTAATAGTTTAACCTAATTTTTAAAATGACTTATTTTTTTATTTAATGTGTACGAATGCTTTGCCTGCATGTTTGTCTGTACACACGTGTGCAGGGCCCTCAGAGGGCAGAAGGAGGTGTGAGATCCTGCTGGAACTGGAGCTACAGATGACTGTGAGACAGCATATGCGTGCTGGGAATCTAACCCAGCTCCAGAAGGGTTCTAACTCTAGAAGACCAGCCTGTGCTCTTAACTGCTGGACCATGTCTCCAAGCCCTCACACCTAATAGTAATAGCTTAAGACATAATCCTATTTCAAAGCTGAAAGATTGTAAATTGGTAATCATAAGTCAGGGACCATCTGTAATGTAGACTAAATCAGATCCAGTTGCCCTTGGTTTAGTTCTGTGTGTGACAGATGCAAACAGAGGAAGAATTTTAATGTTGTCTGGGTATTGGGGCCTGCATATATGTCTGTGTACACATGTGTGCCTGGTGCCCGAGGAAGCTGGAAGAGAACACTGGATCCCCTGGAACAGGAGTTAGAAGTGGCTGTGAGCTGCCATACAGGTGCTGGGAATTGAACCTGGGTCCTCGGGAAGAGCAGCCAATGTTCTTAACTGCCGAGAGAATTGAAAAAAAAAATTTTGTCTACATTCTCAGAGCATTCCACAGGGATAAATACGCACTTTGTCTTACCTTTCATCTCCTTTCAGGGTGGATGGTCTCTACCCCACTTCACACATGATACTTTGATGCTGTATAATGAGAACCGAGACACCAGCAAGGCACCTCTAACCCTCTAGAAGGAAGCCCACCAGAGCAAGCTCCAAAGTGATGACCCTGAAAACATGTGGCCAGTGCTCCCAGTACTGAGCTTGATTGTCCTTCTGCTCCTGCAGGGTTTGAGATGGCCTTCTTCAGATCCAGAGGAGCTGGAGGTTGCCGCCTTCTGCTCACAGTGGAAGAGGAAACTCCTACAACACCGACTTCAAGAAGCCTCAAACAAAGACTGTGATGAGCTGGGCTTACGAAAAACAAGCACGAGGACCCTCCCCGCACTGGCAGCCCTGGTTCAAGAAGCATTATAAAAGCTGAGGCATATTCTCCAAGGCAGCCGGTGTGGACCAGTCCTTTGGCAGCTTAGCATGCCTCTTGGGTTGAATCCCAGACACAGGTATGTGTGGCCAGGACTTGTGCTTTCCAGAGCTTCTCTGACAGCATTCCTGGTTAAGAACACTGGGCACTGATGGAAATTTAACAGGGGATGCTCCTGTCTCTATGTGATACAATCAGGGATTTTTTTTTTCTTTTTTTTTTGGTTTTTCGAGACAGGGTTTCTCTGTGTAGCTTTGCGCCTTTCCTGGAACTCGCTTTGGAGACCAGGCTGGCCTCGAACTCACAGAGATCCGCCTGGCTCTGCCTCCCGAGTGCTGGGATTAAAGGCGTGCGCCACCACCGCCCGGCACAATCAGGGATTTTAAGAAGAGCAGCACAAACAGAAAATGAATGGCATGTGCTTTGAAGAGAATTAGGCCCTTTCCTGTCTGTTTGTCTTACCCATTCTTTCACTCTGTTCTCCTCACTCTGTTTTTTAAACCACTTTATTAATTCACATATCATAGCATTCATACATCTAAAGTTTATCTTTAATGGTTTTTAATGCTCACAGATTTATGCAAGCACCAACACAATTAGTTTAGAATATTTTAGGATTCCCTGAGAGAATCCCTTTAGTGGTCTTCTCCTTTTGCCCTAGCCTAGTAGCTAATTCGAGAAATCCACGGAGTTTGCTTAAAGGGCAAAGGGACTTACTAAGAAAGGAAGACTCACAAAACAGAACAGAGGAATTGTCTCAGGGTCCTGGAAAAGGTGAGGCACGGTCCACGCTGCTCTTCTGCACCTGAGACTGTCCCAGCATCCAAGTCCCAAGGGGGAGCAAAGAGAGTGTGCCTTTCAGGTCTAAAGGGTAGCCAAGAGGCCACGCCCCAGGGGCATGTACTTCATGGTCATAGGCAGGTAGTGCTATGTCTTTAGGGCTGGGTCATAGAACAGATATCCGCTAATGGGATTAATCCACGGAGTCTATTTAATGAGCAAAGGGATTTATTTGGGGGTTAACTCACAACCATGGGAGATTTATCGTAGGGTCTGGGAAAATTGAACTGTGCCCCACGCTGATCTGCCTGGTCCAAGATCTCAGCATCCAAAATGAGGTAGCCAAGAGAGAGTGCATTAGTGCATCCCAGGTCTTAAGGGTCCCCCAGCGGTCAGGCCCCAGGGGCATGTACCTCAAGGTCATAGGCAGGTGTAACAATTACCTGCTACCTCACTAGGGACAGTGCTTCAGGGCATGGCTCAAACAACCATCCAGTACAATCTGCTACAAGTAGCTGTTAATTACTTTCTGTATTTTGTATAGGCTTTCCTAAACTGGACACTTCCTATAAATAGACTAATATAAGTGGTTCTTTGTGACTGGCTTACATTGTTAGCATTGAAAGGCCATTTGTATTGGTACTTCATTTCTTCCTGCCAAATATTTCCCTTGTGTGGACATGGCACACCTTACTTACATGTTCACCAATGGCTGGATATTGGGGCTCTTTCCAGTTTTAGCTCTTCTGAAGAAAACTGGTATTGAGCGTATTGGAATGGTGTTGTGGGTACTACTTTTGTATTATATATCTTTGTCACATCTTTCAGTTTCTATACGGTTTGTTTGTGCACTGATTTCCCTCCCCCCATTATTATGGCTAATGGTTCATTGGTTTTATTAAACTTCTCAAACAACCATATTTTGGTTTTGTCGATTTTCTTGTATTGTTTTTATTTCCTACCTCACTCATAGCTGTTTAAGGCAGAAGGATAAACCTTGTAACTTCATTATAACCAGAGCAGAATTGGGTGGCTGGGTGTGTAGGCAGAGAGAGTGCAGAACTGAGACTAAACCCGACGGGGGAAAGTCCTCAGCCATCACGGCCGCCTGTAGATCCTGTGCGCTCCAGTACTGATCACCGGGCAAGAGGTGCCCACTGCTGCAGTAGTGACGCGAACGTTCTGGAAGTGACCGATTCTTTCCTGACTGGACTTCAGGACTGTTCCACGGGATGGACTATGTGCCTGGCATTGCAGGCCGGGGCAAAACTTCTATGTCTAGGTGGGACACAGGCCCTAGAAGGAATGTACTACTGATGGTTTGCCAACTTGTAGCTAAACTGCCTTACAAATACTTTTGTTATACCCATAGACTAGTGCAGTTCTTAGCCTTTGTCAGAGAAGCCTATTTCGGCAGTGGGCGATGGCCAAAGCGGGGACTCATAACTTGCTGACTCATAACAAACCAACTCAGAGTTAGGGACTCATAACTAGTGTTGGAAATAAGTGACTGTTGAGTGCTTGGCCCTAAGGGGACATCTGTGTCACCTTCTCTGAGGCCCAAGGACACCAAGCAAGATAGGGTAGAAGGACTATGGAAACCAAGCATGGGGAAAGTATGGTAGGGTACTGAATTCGTGTTCTGAATATGACACAGCCATTACATCAATTCAGCAAGACCAGTTGACCAGTGAGCTCCAGGGATCCTCCTGCCTCCTCCTCCCTGGTGCTAGGATTATAGGTGTGTGCCATCGTACCTTGTTTTCCATGGGTGCTGTGGATCTGAACTCAGGTTCCCATGCCTGTACAGCAAGTGTTGAGCAACTCCCCAGTCCCTCAATTGTTCTTGAGCAAATGACTTTTTACATCTTGTAGATGTGGCATGGGATACTCAGTTAAAGCCTGAATGATACTACTCCTCCAGAAGAGGCACCAGGACTAGACTATGCTGTCTCTCAATGAAGCAGTCTCTGATGATTAGATTAATTGCCCAACAATTAAATCCAGTAATCTTGTAGGCTCTGATAAGGCAATGAGCACTTGACCACTGAACAGACTAGGACAGAAACCAGAAAGCATCCTACGATGTTCCCTGACCTTGAAGGGTCGCTGAGCATCTGCTGCAATGAGATTCCATTCTGACCCTAATGAGTTCCTGCAGCTCATTTTCCAGCAACCTGTCAGATTCACATATTCTAGGCATAGTCAACCTACAGCCCCTGTGTTCTGCACATCCCAGGGTAGCTACGAATGCAGCCCAAACAAAAACCATCAGCTTAACCACGATGTCGTTTCTGGTTAAATAGTCCCCCGGTGCAAACTCTGTAGATGGCATGATGCCACAGTCTCAAAAGAACACATGTGCCTGAAAGCTAATGTGAGAGGCTTCCTAGAATGGAAACAGAGCCGGGAAACGGCCTTGCACACTGCTAGTCTGTACAGTTAGATAAGACATAATTTCTCTGAACAAAGGATTTGCTGAAGGGCAGTGTTCCTTTTTTAGGAAGCCTTGGGATGATCTCCATTTACAAACTCTTGTATGTGCACAAGGTTCCCCTGCCTTGAAATGCTGAAATAAGAGCAAAACAGCACACTTCCAGATGTACACCATTAGAAACACTTTTAATTTAAATTTAATAGAGATTACAGAAAAAATACAACAGAAACTTGCAACAGCACCACTGCTGAGAATGTCACTCAGAAAATTAATTAGTAAATTAAAAAAAAAAATCCAGCATAATTTGCCCTTTTCCAAGTGATTTGTTAGCTCTTAATGTTCCAGTTGACCAATTCAACAAAGTATACTCTTGGTTGTATTCTCCGAACAAATTAACTATTTAGTTAATCCAGTAAATTGGTGTATATAAACCTTCCAAGGTGAAATAGTGAGAATTTCCCAAAATTTTTGACAATTTGGGGAAATAAAATAACAACACTGGAAACGTCAAACCAAATACTTGATCCTGAGTAGGTATGACCTGGATTTCAGCCCGGAGAGATGGTGCTGGTGGATCCAAGTCTGGATACCTTGCTCCCTACAGCAGTCCTGGGGCACAGGGGCTACCAGATGCCCCAGCCTTATGCAAGCACTGCAGCCCTGTGTAATCCTGAACCTCGGATCTATGCTGAGCCCCTTTCTGAGTGAGGTGGCTGGGGCATCATGTGTAGCATGAGCGATATCAAAATGTTTTAAATTTGGGTAAGTCAATATACAAATGATTACTTCTTGACTGTCATTTTTATATGCGAGGAAGTATACTGTTTCTTGAAAAAAATTCTATTTTAACTTCCCTCCTAAGCACCTGGAGGAAAAACTGTAAAATGGAGGTATGAGACAAGCCCTTACCTGAAATGAATGGGTGATCACAGTCTCCTTTGTGTTGACTTAAGAAACATGTAAAGGGGGCTGGAGAGATGGCTCAGAGGTTAAGAGCACTGGCTGCTCTTCCAAGGTTCTGAGTTCAATTCCCGGTACCCACATGGTGGCTCACAACCATCTGTAATGAGATCTGGTGCCCTCTTCTGGCCTGCAGGCATACTGTATACATAATAAATAAATAAATTTTTTAAAAAAGCATGTAAAATGTGAAAGTGCATCACTGACAACCCCAAGACATGATGACAATGGAGGTCCAGGGAAAAACTGTTATTGTTTAAGAATTCAGTCTCTATCTTTCTTTCTAATAAATTATTATGGATCAAACCTCTTTGACAAGATACTGTCTTAGGGTTTTTATTGCAGTGAAGAGACACCATGACCTCGGCAACTCTTATAAGGAAAGCATTTAATTGGGAGGGCTTGCTTATAGTTTCAGAGGTTCAGTCAATTATCATCATGATGGGGAGCATGGCAGCACACAGGCAGACATGGTGCTGGAGATAGCTGAGAGTCCTACATCGTGCAGGCAACAGGAAATTGACTGACATACTGGGCAGTATCCTGAGCATAGGAAACCTCAAAGCCCACCCCCACAGTGACACACTTCCTCCAAGGCCACACCCACTCCAACAAAGCCACACCTCCTAATAGTGCCACTCCCTGTGAGATTATGAGGGCCAATTACATTTAAACGACCACACTAACAAAATGCAAATTTTATTACTCCTTTCAACCTTAATATCCTTCTGAAGATACTTAAACCACAGTGAAGGGCTGGGAAGGGCAGTTCAATGGTAGTTCTTGCCTGGTATGCTGAGGTGCAAGGTTCCATCTCTAGCACTGCAAGAAAACAAAAGTTGTTTGTATAAAATCACTAGAGTCAGAAGTATAAGGACTGATCACTGGAAGAGCTGTATATTTTCATTCCTTCTTACACATTTTACATTTAAAACATGAACAACTCATGAATAAACAGTGTGGTCACATGCCCACCTGAGCCAGTACCTCTGTTGTTTCTAAGAACCAATGGCTTTTATACCGAATAGATGTCCACTCCACCCTCACATGCTATTCCAGCAGACATACAACATGGCCCAGCGGCAAAGCAACTGGAGGCTTCTATCAACATCCATCCTGCATAAATCAGGCGGGTCAGATCCTTATGACTAACTACAAACCAAACACTTTTGTGGTTAAAAAAAGTTCTGTAATTCTTGCACACTAACATTTAAAAACTTGCTAACCTGGTGGGTTATTCTCTGAAACAACTTCTCCTCTTACGATTTCCATGCACATGTAAAGCTTTATAAAATTGGTAAACCACACGGGTCACTCCTGGTTGTTCTGGAACAACCATGAATAACTTAATAACCTGACAGGAATGTAGGAATTGTGTCTCTGATGTACAGTAAGCAATTTTGTATTTACAAATATGCTACAAAAACAATTCTCTCCCTACCTCAAGCTGATGAACAGTTGAAATGATTTATATATCACAGATAAGAAACTAGATGTTGAGATAAAGCTCAGAAGTCAATTCAGAACAAGAATGTGAATTCCTTTGTCCTTAAACTTTGAGATCTTCAAAAGTTCTCTGTCCTTCCAGCTCCGTAACTATTCAGGTTAAACAAGACTTAACTACTTAACTCTTCTCCCACTCTTAAAATAAACAGGACTAGCAGGAGCACTGAGGTCTGGAATACTAAGGCAAGTTAAAAGACAAACCCCAAGCACACATCATCGCATAATATGGTTCTTTTCATGCAGTCCAGTTCTGGGGTTTCCAGTACAGGGTGGAAAACATGGAGGTTCCATACAGAAATGGGGCCAAATACCTGAGTGAAACTATTTCAACATTGGTTCAGATACAGGAACACAGATGACAAATCTAGATTCTTAGGATATGCGATTCCAGGTTTGGTCGATTCGTACTCTACTCAACCAAAGTAAAGAGGTATGAATTCTGAGACCCAGCATGAAGGCTCAATCACAAGAGATGAGCCTATGCAGTCTTTTCAGACACCAATTGTTTCTGTTATCTGTAAATGTGAAGCTTATAAGAATAGGACCTAACTTACTTTCACTGTGATAGTATACACCAAGTTCCATGAATTTAAAAAATAACAATGATATTAGCTACTTTCCTGTTGTTGTGATAAAATCCCATAACCAAAGTAATATACAGAAAGAGTAGTTTATTTTTGCTTGTACAAGAGCCCATTGTGGCAGGGTGGCATTGAAGCAGGGAGACATGGTTGCAGAAGCCAGAAATTGAGAGCTCACATTTTCAAAGACAAGCAAAGAATGGGCAGACTGGAAGTACATTGAGTCTTTTTAACTCTCAAAGCCAGCCACAAGAGACACACTTCTTCCAACCAGGTCACATCGCCTAAACCTCCCCCAAACAATAGCTCCAACTGGGTCCAAGTATTCAAGTATCACTTTTTAAATCCCTATGCAACCCACTTTAAAAAAGGGCTTACTAGCCGGGCGGTGGTGGCGCACGCCTTTAGTCCCAGCACTTGGGAGGCAGAGCCAGGC